AAGTGAGGGAGGGTTTTTTCTGGTTTGATGTTTCTCAGCTGAGAGTATTAAAGCCAGTCATGTTATGCGTTTCTGGAACTTGGCAAAGCAAAGTCAGACATCAGCCCAAGAGCAAGAGACCCCATGTGCAGGGCTTCTCTACAGCATCTCAGGCTGTGTGTGGAACCTATGCAGTGTACTGTGATGGGCAGAGATGGGAAGGTACCAGCTCAGGCCACAGACTGTGTCTTGGTCTTCCCATCTGTGATATGGTACAGTGACAATATGCAAACCTGGGAAGCAATGCATGGCAAAGGCTTTGCACTCTGCTTGACAGAGAGCCAGTGCTTAGATAGCCCTAGGTGGCACCGACACGCACACCACAGGAAGACTCATTCTGTGACAAAAATGGTTGTGTGCTTTGCATTACGGTATCCCCAGGACCAGTAGTGAGCAGAGGGCAGCAGTGTGACCCCTTCTCTGAGAATGAAGCTGAGTCGGGCACCTCCTGCGTAGCCACCTCTTCACTCCCATCCTGGCAGCCTGGTCCTCTGGTTCCTTCTTACTCAGGGTAGAATCTCACCTCTGGAGTGAGAAGGAGCCTAGAGACGCTTCAGTACAGCACCCAAGTTCACTAGTGAGGAAACCGAGGCTCAGGGAAATCTAGTCAACCACTTCTTGGCCAGGTGCCCTGGGGTGAGGCTCAACTATAGATTGGGGTCTAGAAGATCCGCCAAAAAAGGGGACAGACTATAACATCTGTGGAGCCTGGATTGGGGACAATGCCTGGTTGCTTCTGACCAGACCTCTATGGCCCTGAGGTTTGGCCAGATCAGGGAGCTCTACAATTTGGACAGCCAGCCACGATGGTTTATGCTGCGGCTACAACAGAGAACAGCGTGCAAACTCCGTTGGAGAGCTGGAGGATTTGGGAATCACACTGGGACCTCCATAGTATAGAGGCCATGAGTCTGTACACCTGCCACAGTGGCTTCCTAAAGAGTAGTGACTTTCCTCATAGCTATGGTTCATACATGCATATACTTTCTGTCCCTCTGCTCCCTGGATTGCAGCCCTAAGGATCATTACAAGAAGTGAGCAGACCAGGGAGGAAGGGGCAAAGGGTGTGGGAGTAGTGTCAGAGGACCCCTTCCTGAGGCAGGGTCTTAGGTAAGGGATCAGTGAGGTGCAGGGAAGCTTGGGGCAGATCTCTTTCACCCACTCATTCCCAGGCTGAGCTTTTCCTAGAATCCAGGGACTGTGCTGAACGCAGGAGAGCAGTGATGGCGGAGAGCAGAGCGGCAGCTAGCGAACCACTCTGGGACCGCTAGCTCTCCTTGTGGACTGTACTATGAAGCACAATCCTTGCCCCCACCCGCACCCCGTGAGTGTTCAAAGCATAATCCGCTCAGCTCTGCCAGAGCCAGAGAACAACACAGTCCTCGTCTGTATGAGTGGGACAGCTCAGCGACAGCAGTGTTCGCCACGGTGCTCTTTACAAGGGCTCACCCAGCTTGGGGCTTCTGGATGAGACAGGTGTACGCTGAGACCACCCGAGAAGCACAGTGGCGCCCGCTTAGGCTCAGCGCTTCCAGTGGAGGAGGCATTGTGGATGGAGGGCCAGAGGCAAAGGCTAGACGGGGGACACAGGGACTGTGAATAAGAGCATCAGGGACCCTGGTGTGGGCTCGGGTCTGCGGCAGGGGAGCCAGGGAAGCTTTTGTACTGCACATAAAGGTAGCCATCAAGGGTTTCAAGCAGAGAGCCGCAGTGATTAGAAGTGCACTTTGCGGAGATGACTCAGCCAAGCTGTGGCAGTCAGGTGGGAGAGGCAGAGCTGCCGCTGGAGCTGGCAGGAGGTGACCCGGGGGTGCGGGCGAGAGGGAGGCTGGCCTGGCTTCCGGTGGGACGGTGGACAGGGTGGGGTTTGGGGGGACGTTAGGGGCAGTCTCTGTTAGGGTTGAGGATGGAGACGATATGAGGTAACAAGGAGTCAGAAAACCGCTGCTGGGTCTGGATTGACTGACAGGGAACCCTGGGAGATGGAGGAGAGGGGAGGCCATGGTTACTCACAACCCTAAGCCTGAGAACTGACAGATTCCATACGATTGTGGGTAACCACAGGGTCAGAATACCAAACCCTCTCTCTATAAGAGTTCTAATTAGGACCCGGCTTAGGCTTCATGCTCATCCCTGTCTGTCTTCGTCACGAAGTCTTCCTTCCTCCTTTTCATTCTCTGAACATCTTTTAAATCATTGTTCTTTTGAACAACATCATTTGAATTTCCCTGATATCTTTGATATTTCCATACATTTAAATTAACTTTTTTTTTTTCAAGACAGGGTTTCTCCCTCGCTGTCCTGGAACTCCCTCTATAGACCAGGCTGACCTTGAACTCAGGAATCCACCTGCCTCTGCCTCCCACCTGCTGGGATTAAAGGAGTGCGCCTCCATTTCTTGACTTAAATTAACTTTGAAGTTGGCCCAAAAGTCATGAACATTTTCATACTTCTTTTTCTTCTATAGTAAACAGGGCTTTTACTAATTTTAAGATACCCCTTCCCATGGTTTAATTTCACCTCACAGTGAGGTGAAATTAAAAAGTTACATGAATGTTCTACCACAGAACACAATCTTACTACCAGGTTCCGTGCTGGGTACGGGGTGGGGGGGGATGATGAGAGGTCAGAGAAGCTTCCAGAGAGTTGAGGAAACACCTGGAAAGTAAGAGACCAAGGGGGAAGTGCTAGGAGGAGGGAGAACTATGGAGACAGAAGCAAAGGGGAGCATGCAGAGCCCGGAGATTCATGCAGGGTAGCTGAGGCCCAGAGAAGGCAAACAGCTTGCCCAAGGTCACACAGCTCTTTCGTAGAGAAAAGAAAAGTTCAGTTTGCTGTAAACATGGGCCATGCTTCAGTAATCTTGCTCTGGCCTCAAACTGCCTTAGCCCCCTGCTCCTCCTGCCTACTCTACCTATGGTTAGTCTAGAAAGATACAAAGTCCAGGGGAGGGCGCTGTCTTTCAGGCTGAATGGCCTGAAATGCAAACCTAACTGTTAGAATTTGATGCAACACTACTAACAGGTCATCAGTCCCGTCCAACTCTGTCACAGCCCCCTGTTTCCCATTAAGTCACCTAGCACTTAACTAACTTCCTCTCAAGCCAGGTTCCCTGAGGTTGATGAGGTATGACCCCAATCCCTCTTCCGGGGCGGGTAAGGGACTTGACCTTTCTCCTTGGTGCCCTGCTGCTTGCTGCTTCATGTATCCTACTTACTAAAAAGGATACCCACTCTATAAGTACTTGCTGCATTCAAGACACTTGGTTGGATGCTGGGGGAAGGTACAAGAGATGGCTCCTGCCTTGGAGGAGTGGAGAGACTCATGAAGTTTTGGGGGTGTTTACAGATACCCCTTCCTTCGGACCACACTGCCTTGATCCTCCTAGATTACTGCATCCAGTAATAAAGAGACCAGGATGGCACGGGCCAGGCATCTACACTATTCTATCAGTTTAATCCTTAAGCTAAAATGTTCTCTATCCATCAGTGTCTCTATATTTTTCTGGAAGGATAGAAAATGCAGCTCATCACTTTCCTGCACCTCAGCCCTTCTGTATTTCAATACAGAATGCAGAAGATCCAAAGATCCCGAGGAGTGTGTGGTTCAGGACTGCTGGCTGGCCACCACATTGTCCTGTGGTTTTATGGGATCTGCTCTGAAGGGTCCCCGAAGACTGTGAGCAGCTCCCTCACTAACAGTGGAAGTCTGTGAGCTTACACTCAACCAGAGCCCCAGGCTTTTGCTCCAGGGCCGTGTTCTCATCCAACATACAAAATATGGGCACTTTGGGCATCGTAAGACTGTAAGCAGGATTTTAGATTTCTTCCTATTTTCTCTGACTTATTTTCATTTGAAGCATCCTTCTGTTCATTTTTAAAAAACAAATCTTGGCTTCAGCTGTTAAGGTTCTTGGTGACTGTGCTTCAGCCTTATCTCACGAGAAAGCTTGGTACCTGGAGCTTTCATGTTTTTATCCAGTGCCTTCTCAAAAAACGGGGGAACTGGGCAGGACCAAGGACAGCACTGTCCCTGGCCATGGACCAGACAAAAAATGCTGGCGGTGTGGGGTTTTGTTTGCAAATTCTACTTGACAAACCCACCGGTCTGTGCTGTCATATAATCCACACAATCCTGTCTTGTCACATAGCTCTCAGGAAGGATTTTTGTTAAATGCTTTACTAAAAGTCAGGCACATTGCCCACTGCTGGTCCCAAACCAGGACGCTAGCTTGGCAACAGTGTCCTTCAAAAGGAATGAAGTTAGTTTGACTTTCCTTCGTCCTACTGGCTTCCTGAGATTTGCCTTGTCCGCAGGCCAAGACTGGGTCTTTAGGGCCTTCGCATTATAGAGCTAGTAGGGCTATTGGCAGGAACTGAAGGTCTAGTTCCTAGTTTTGCTGGTGAGGAAAGCAAGGCTCAAAGTGTTTCTTGGGCATTCCTGAAGGAATGGTGAGGACTGGGATCCATATCTACCTCTCCAAGTCCAAATCTCTTTCTTGGTAGACTCTAACAATCACACCTCCCTCTAAGCAGGTGCCCCTTTCCCAGTAGGGAGGCTCTGATACCTTCAACAGGATCAGTCTTGGAAATGGTGCCCACTCACACACTTGGGCGTGCCTTAGAATTAGGCTTACCCTTGGGGGGCAGGCCAATACGGTTATTTCTTCTGGGTTAAGTGGAAGTGTGGACTGAGGTTTGCACCCTGTAAAGGGCAGAGACCCTGGATATACTAACTATAGGCCTTGTGGTGCAGGGCATAAATCATGCCAAATAAAGGCCGGATGGGGGTTAAGCATGGCCTCTTGAGGAACTGGGCTCTCAAAAAGGAAAAGAACAGGTCGGTAACTCAGCTGGGGAGAAACAATGATAAGTGTTCCTACGGGTCCCTGACACCCTGGACAGCCCCCAAAGACAGGGCCCTTCACCACCCTCCCCGCCCCCCTAGGAGGCCCTGGGTACCTGTTTATTCTTTAGGTCAAGGGAGAGTTCGTATTCGGAGGCAGCAGGGGTGTGGGAGCAGAGCGCCGTCGCCAGGGCAGGCTGCTGCTGGCCAGGGGAGGCCGCGCGGAGGGGGCCAGCCCGTGGGGAGCCCCCCGCCCCCGGTCGCTCCTCCTCCTGCTGTAGCTCCTGGGCTTGAGCCTTCGGGGCATGGGCACTGGGTCTGCCGGCTGCCACCGCGGAGTCCTCCATGCCCCCACCGGCCTGGGCACAGGAGCCATCACTGTGAACAGAAGGCAACGGTGCTCGGTTGGGGGAAGGGGGGGAGGGTGCATGTTGCCTGACCTACCTGTTTCTAGTACTTTCCAATGAGAGGGACTAATGGATATCTCTTGCTGCCCTTCTAGGAAAGGGCTCTTATGACTGGGAAGAACCCAAAGCAGGGGTAAACCCGAGTTTGGGAGGGCACCTAGGTAGAGGGGGCACCTGGGGCCAGGACTCAGAGTGGCTGGGCTCACATCTGGGATCTGTCCTTGTCCTCTGAGCAGCTGGGCTACCCTAGCAGGTTACTTAGTGATCTGGCACCTGTCCCTAGTCTGGAAATGGGCGTCTTAGCTGTCCAGGCCTCACGGGAAGTGGATAGGTGTAGTTACTGCCCATTTTAAAACCGCCTAGCTTGTGGACACTGCTATACACGGCATTAACCACTGCAGTGGCCACTAGTGTGGCTCCAGGGTCATTGGTTGGGGGGCTTAACGGGACTTGCTACATCTTTAGACTCCCTCGGTGAGTTCACGAGAGGGAATGGTCATCAGCTCTTTCAGACCTTCATTTTGGGACTGGGCCTGTAGAGAGGAGGGGGCGTGCGCTGCTTGGTTCAGAGGAGCCTGTTCTTTTCTGGCTCTCCTTTCCTCCCGTGCAGCCCTCAGCAGGTTGAGCTATTACTACCTTCCTCTCGCCTACCCTAAGAAAACAGGGAATTAGTAACCTGCGCTGCTTCTTTCTCCTCTACCCTATGAGCACTGCCCTACTTCAAGGCTCAGGGCTAAGCCCTTCCTCTAAGCTCCTCCAGATAGCTGTAGTTTCCCCGTTCTGTCTCAGGACACTGAGAACCATCCTCAGAGGGTCCTTGTTTACTGCACAGTAGAGAACAGCAGTGTAATTAATAGCTGGGCTCCAGCTTCAGACCCCACCACTGTGTGGCACTGGTCATGTTGCTTTGCCTCTGAGCCTTGAGTTCCTCATCTACGTAACCAACTGTGCTCTGCCAATAACAGTGGAGGTTGGTGGATAGGTCTTGGCTTTGCCTTCTTTCTCGTGGGCTCACCTAGGAGCAACATGATGTGAAGTGGCCACGAGCCCCCCCCTAACTGCTCTCACCAGCATGGCCAAGATCAGAGAGTGGAGGGAGACAATCATGGCTTCACTGCCAGGAAGTATGAATCATAATTCTGCTCTGTTTCTCACTATGTGACCTTGGTCCACTTAGCCACCTTATTTGTAGCTCTATCCGTTCATCCACAGAATGTAGAAGTACCTTGCAAGGTTGCCACAAGGAGCAGAGTGCCGGGCATACACCGGGACCGTAATAAATAGAGGGAATGGTTTGTTTCTGAGCCAAAACCGCACAACATTAAATATTCTGAACTAAAAGGTATTTTCCCCCATTTGGTCTTTTGTTGACCTTCACAAAACTGAGTAACAAGGTTCTCCATGGTCTCCATATGGTCTTTGTCAGCCCTCCAGGTAGACTGGCTTCCTTGAGGCTCATCTGACCCCTGTTCTGTGCATAGAGAAGAGGTCCTGGTTTTGAGCATTGCCATCTATGGGATTATTGGCTTCTCTGTGCTCACTGCCTCCATGCAGTGGTTGTACCCATCACAATGTGACTTTCCCTGGAGAGGCATTGTCCAGAGTCCATTGTATAAATTTGTGATTTGGACCCTTGGGTAGGGAGTAAAAGGGTCCTGCATGCTCAGAACCTTTACTTTGTGTCTAAGCTTCAACAGAATGGGCTCTATACCCTGTTTAGACTAATTTTCTTTAAATGCTGGGATTTCATCCTAGAATCATCCTGTTACATTATCACAGATGGAGGGCTGCTGACTGCAACCCAGAGACCATGATCTTCGGTGCACAGCCCTTGTATTTGTACCCAGAGTAATACTTCTTCTGGGACACAGGCTGTTTCTGCAGCTCAGGTCAGGTTCTAGGCAGGGTTTTATAAGCCTTAACCAGGGTTTTATAAGTAAGTCTTTCACTCATTCTGCAAACAAAATAGCTTCATTATAGTCTTTCCCCTGAGTGTCTAGGAGGTGTCTCGGTGACCTCAGCTCCCTTGGACCCAGGGACAATGCACTTCTCTGGGGCAATGTTAGCATGTAAGTGGAACTGCTCACTAGGTTCTCCCTTGGCCATGGATGCCCACTTGAAAAGATAAAAGAATAGAATGTGGGTGGCAGCAAAGGAAACTCTGAGAAAGCTGTTATAGTGCCTATGTGACATTAAGCCCATACACATACAAGGGTCCAGGGCACCAATAATGACCAGCCCATACTTGATAGTGCATCATTTATAGATGGTGAGTGAAGCTCTTTGAGAAACTTAGGAACTGGTATTGTTCAGAGGAACATCACACATGATCAACAGAAGATCACCCATGTCTTGGAACTAGACATCACCCGTGAAGAAGGGCACTCAGGTGGGACATTGATACCTGTTGTGCATGCCTGATTCTGGGGATTTTGTGACTTCTCCATCTGTCCGCCATGTCTATTATTATAGCCACCTTCCTGGAATGTGGGTGTTTTGCTGTCAAGCCTCTGCTCAGAACTCCTCAGTGGCTTCTGGGCTGGAGGAAGAAGACCATTGGCAAGCACCCCTATTGGATGACCTTGCCACTCCATCCACGCTGCCACCAAGTCTGCTGAGCCCTCTTAGAGCAGCGAGCACCTCACAGGATCCTTCTCTTTCTGAACAGCCCTCCCACCCACACCTTCCTCTTTCCTGTGAACTCCCTTGGTCCTCATTTAGTGACTGTGGGAAGACCTGATCCTTCTACATTCTGCTTCTCACCTCCAGACGGGCAGGTTTTGATAATCAATTCTCTTTCAGCAAGGACATTCAAATTATTCACCAATGTGTCTGTATTCTCCCCTAGATTTCTGCGCACCACCCCCTGCTTAAATCACAGGTACTTATTACACTGGGTTGGCTCCTAAGATGTGTGTAATAAATGCTAGTGGGTAGATGAATGGACAGGTGGATAGATATATATTGCTTAATCTTTACTATTTATCCAAGGGTGCAGATGCTGGAAGTGCTTCAGTATGTGCCAGTCCAACTGTCCCCAAGGAAGTATTCTTGCCTGTCTGCAAAGAATGCTGTGGCAGAGTCTCTTTGGTTATGAATGTTATCATTCCTACCATGAATTATCTGAGCAATAGAGAGCTATCTGTCCCCGAGTCACATCCTCCTCAGGAATGCCCACATGACCAACTAAAACAAGGCTCTGGAAGACCACTGGGACAGATTTTAGGGCCTTTGAACCACCCCCATTTATTGTTTATGACAGAACTGGCTGAGACTAGTCAGCTTTTTGCACTTTGCCTCTGCTGTGTCTCTCATTGCTCCCCCATGGAGATCACCCCAAGGCATGCAAGTCAGAAGCTGGCACCTGTAGGTCAGAGGTCAGAGTGTGCTCACCTAACTCACAGTGGAGGTCCAGCTTGCTGCTGCTCCTCTTTTCTCAATGGCTAGGATGATCTTTGTCTTCTGTTCTCAGACCTACAGATCATTTCCCAGATCCAAGTGCCTTTGCTAAAATTCCTGGGTTCTCTCCTACCTAGGAAAATGCCTACACTCCCACATCTGCCAGGTTTCCTCATCACATCAGTGCCATAGGGAATTCATGCACATTGCTAGTTAGAACACTGATTCAGAGCAATGATCCTGGAGAAATGTCAGCGCCAAGGACCGCAGGCAGATATTTGAAGAAGTACCACACAGCTGTGCTGAGCCTTGTCGCTGTCTCTGGTGCTGATGAAATGCCTTTACGAAGGTCAGAGAGCTTGAGAGGGGTAAGAGCCCTGCTCTGTACCTAAGGCTTCTGCACCTTGTTCTCTCATCTGAAAAGTGGAGCTGTGGTTCTTCCCTTCCTGGAGAGCTGAAGATGGTTACCTCATAGGTAACCCTTCTATCGGGAGCAGGCAAGAAAAGAGAGAGTCTGGCAGACTGTCCACATAGCTCTGCCAGGGAGCTGACTCAGGAAGCTAGTGTCCCCTCTAGGCTCCTTAGTGGGCCCTGGTAGGTCATACTTTGCAGTGTCGGGAGCTGGAGGGAACAGGGACCGCTGGAAAACAGGAGAGGGAACGGGAGCTGAGTTTGGAGAGGGGACCACCTCTCCCCAGGCAGAGGCTAGCTTGTCTTTCATCCTGGCACACAGTTGGAATAAGGTAATGAGGAAATGTGCAGACCTCAAGGGGTCGGAGGCAGGAGATGCTGGCCTCTGGGAGGACAAGATGCGAGATATTTTCCTACCACTGCAGTATCTGTAATAGTAATTATGGAGACCTGGCTGGAAGGGTTTTGAAGGCTGGAGCACTCCTCCCTCAGGCTGTGGCTCCTCCTGAGGACCTGGCCACCCACACTAGATTACTCCTGACTCTGCCACTCATTCTCAAAGCTCTTCTGGGACAAAGAAACAAAGAATTCTCTAGACAAAAGCTAACAACATGCCTTACATCCCCTCAAGATTTTTTATCCTTTACTAAAACACAGCTTTTTTTTTTCTCCTTTCTTTGAATCAATAGAATTACTTTAGACGGCCAGACTGAGTGTAGGAAGCTAAGTATTTTCTCTTGCCCCAGATGGGATCAGGGAAGGGCTGAGATTAAAGGGAAGTCCAGAGTTAGTGACAGATAAGAACCAAGTCGGGGGATAGGCTGTCAAAATAACCCCTAAGGCAAATCAGGGAATAGGCTGGGAAATCATACTCAGGGTGGGCAGAGCAAAGCCAGGGCTGATCTCATTCCTCCTTCTGAGTTCTCTGGTGTGGAGACACCACTCTCCCATAGTGAACTGTGTTTCCTTACCGTGCAGTGGTGTTTTAAATAAGATGCCTCAGTATCTGGAAGGAGGGAGAGGCTGGCTTCCTGGTTCTCATGCCACGTGCACCACCAGAGGCCACACCCTTCCATCCCTGCTTATGCTCCCAACCCTCAGCCCACCCCAGATCCCTGTGCAGAAGCCTCCTACGTCTTTCCTAGAGCATTTAAAACAAGC